AGGCTGCATATCACAGACCTGGGGAGAGCTCAAGCTTTATGTCCCCTCCCCAGTTTGGAGGCAGTTGAGGAAGGAATCTTAGCAGTAGCTGTGGCCAAGGGCCTTTCACTTGTCTTTTGGCAAGTGCTGTTTAACTTCCCTTTCATTTTCACAGGTTTTCATAAGAAGCTGGAAAGAGGACAATACTAATGTCTTTTGAGGCTCCACTCCAGAGAAATGCAGAGCCACTATCAATCAGTGCAGTCCTCTCAGGGTGGAAAGAATGCATCCTGGGGCCCAAGCTGGGGAAGCAGGAGTTGGGGGCTGCTTGGTAATAAGCAGAGAGGCCAGGGTATTCAGAGAAGACAGCCTGGCCTCTTCTTTTTATGGTGGCCGTGGCTTCCTGCAGGTGTTAAAGTATTTAGAGTTTTTGCTCCTTTACCAGTCTACAGGCAGTTAGGGAAGAGCCGCCTCTGTGGCAGTGGCAGGGGGACTGTCAGTTGCCTCTGTGAGCCCCCTCCCCAGGGAAACACAGAGCCACTACCAGTGGGAATGCTCAGCCATGGATAGTGCAGCTGTTCTGCCTAGTGAAGAGTGGGAGGCGGGAGTTCACAGGGAGAGAGACTGGCCCTCCTTTTCGTATGGTGCCTGTTGTTGCATGCTACAGGTGACAGCATAACGACCAGGCCCCCTTGTTCCTTCTCCAGCCCAAGGACAGTAAGGATGGTACCACTGCAGCTGCAATGGCAGAGGTGCTATGGTTTGTCTCTAGGATTCCTGCCCAGAGAAATGCAAGCCGCCACTCACTGAAGTGTTGGGGAGCTGGTTGGTTATGCTTGGAGCTGAAGTTAAGAGGCACTGCCCAGTGAAGAGAAGCAGAGGTGAGGATCCACATGGAAAACAATCTGGCCACTTTTCCATGAGGAGGCTGCACTAAACTAGGAGTTTGCATTAGTCCCTAATCACTGCACACCCTCCTCAACCTGAGGGCCAAAGGTGTGAGGGCTGTGAAACAGCAAAAAATGGTGTCCTGCATCTCCCTCTGGGAGCTCCATCCCAGGGAACTGCAGGCCTGCTCCCAGCCCAAGATCTTAGTTAGGGCTGGGTGGCCATACTAGGGTCCCAGGTCAGTGGGCCTTGTCTTATGACATGGAGTGTGGGCAAGACCTACAGTCCATTACTGCTCAGCCCCATGGATTTGGCCCCTTTCCTGTAGACTTGCAACATAACTTTGGCTCTCCTGTTGCCAGAACTGCAGCCGCTGATCCTGGAGGGCCTGGGAATCCAAGGCTCCTTGACCGGGTGTACACATGAGTGGCAGCTCTACTCAGGCTCCAAGCAGCTCTCTATGTCAGTCCAGAGGCCCCAGTGGGGAAAGCAGGGAGGGTTCATGGGGGATCTTCTAAGCCAAGGGTTTCAAAGGTCTGCAGCAGAAGTGTGGGTCCTTGGGCACCTCTCATTCACTCACCATTTCTCCATGGCTGAGGGCCTCCCCTAGCTCTGTGCCACTCCCACGTGGGATGCTGTCCCTATCTTGCTCTTCATTCTCTGTGGGTCATTTTGTCTCCCCGATGAATCCCAGTGTGTCTACTTGGAGGTTCTGGTCACCACTCTTCTCTTCATGGAAGTGGTGCACTAGCTGCTACTTCTAGTCAGCCATCTTGACTGGACCCTTTATGCTTCTTTTTTTTTTTCAAAATTGTTTCAGCTACACTAAGACCTCTTTATTTCCATATATATTTTAAAATTAAATTGTCAATTTATAGAAACAAACAAAAAAAGCCTGCTTAAATTTTTACTAGTATTGGGTTTGGTCTATAGATCAATCTGGGAAGAACTGATATCTTTACAATCTTGAGTCTTTCATCCCATGAACATGGTATATTTCTTCATTTTTTAAGATCTTCTATAGTTTGTTTCAGTAATATTTTATAGCTTTCAGTGTATAAGTCTTTCACATCTTTTGTCAGATTTATGTTTAAGTACTTCATATTTTTGATGCCATTGTAAACAGTATTTATACTTAATTTCTGATTACCACTGACTAGTGCATATAAATATATTAATTTTATGTTAGTCTTCTTTTCTTGCAGTATTACTAAATTTATTTATTAGTTACCATAGTTTGTATATTTTGCTGAATTTTCTGCGGAGAAATTCTGTTACCTGAAAATAAAAACAGCTTTACGTCTTCATTTTTCCATTGAAGTGACTTTTATTCTTTTTCTTGCCATATTACACTGGCTATAACCTCCAGTAAAATACTTAATAAAATGTTAAGAGCAGATGGTCTTGTGTAGGTCCTCACTTGTCTTTCACTATTAAGTGTGCTGACAGCTGTGGAGGTTTTATAGGTTCCCTTTTAAATCAAAGAAGTTCCCTTCTATTTTTAGTTTGCTGAGTGTTTTTGTCTTGTCTCTCAGAGATCATTTTCCTTGCCTAATATCCAGTATTTTGAAAATATATATTTGTTTTTATTGTTGCAAAACAAATATATATTTGTTTCGTTGTTGCAGGCAGGAGAGTAAATTCAATCCCCATTATTCCATCTTTGCCAAAAGCAGAAGCCTAAAGCTCCTTTTGAAAAACAAGCAAAGTAGATGAGATGTGGTGGCTAATGCCTGTAATCCCAGCACTTTGGGGGCCAAGGTGAGTGGATCACCTGAGGTCAGGAGTTCAAGACCAGCCTAACCAACATGGGGGACCCCCCTCTCTATTAAAAATACAAAAATTAGCCAGGCATGGTGGAGCATGCCTGTAATCCCAGCTACTAGTGGGGCTGAGGCAGGAGGATTGTTTGAAACTAGGAGGTGCAGGTTACAATGAGTAGAGATCATGCCATTGCACTCCAGCCTGGGCAACAGAGTGAGACTCCATCTCAAGAAAAAAAAGAAGAAGAAAAAGAAAAAGAAGCAAAGTAATATGAAACCCAACTTATATATTGGATAATGTTTATGATTATTGCTGTATCACTGTTTCTTCTAGTTCACAAAAGTTTGAAGTTTCTAAGCAGGGTTGCAGGTGGTTTGATATGATAGTAAATGATCTTAAGGCATTCTGCTAATGAGTCATAGTGACTCATCTCTGCCACTTTCTAGTTACATAACCTTGAAAGTTTCCCTAATCACTGTAAGCTTTAGGATTCTTATCTGTAACATGGGATTGTATATAAGAAAAAAGTAGGATTATTAACGTAAGTAATCTAACAAAATATGTGTCATATAATGGATATTCAGTGATTGATAACTTGTATGACTGGGGAAAAGAGCCCTGAATTAAGAGTTAGATTTTAACACCTGTGTTGACTGAATCACTTGTTAACATATCCAGGGTCAATTAGTTTGATTTTCTATGTTGTCATATGTGTGTATAGATACATCTAAAATGTATACCTATGTTTCTGTAAATATTTAAAAGGCTTTATTAAATAAGATGGGTTTTACTTTGATGCCTCAGAAATCTCTAGAAAATTTACCTAGAGTACAGATAACACACTAACACAATAGAGTTTAGGTGACACACTTCATAGGTATGGCATTCAAGTTCTTCTCTTTTCTCAAGTTCCATCACTGGCCAAATCCACTGAATATGAAGCCAACTTCAATTTATTTTTCTTATGCAGATATTCCTGTTGTAGTAGGAAACTACACAGTACTAGGACCCAGAAAATCTGAGTTATAATTCTAATTGCTCTCTGATATGTGGTCTCTGTTTTCTTCTAAAATGAAGGTGTTGAATTAGGTTCTTTCAAGTACTCAAACATTAATTCATTGTATTTCTACCAAAACAGAGCCTTATATTATCTCCTGGAGAGTCATACCCAAAATGTGGAGTTCCTTGTCTTAGGATATTCGCAATCCAGTATGAAAGGCAGGCATGCAAATAAAGAATAAAGTGATAATAATAATAAAAATGACATTACAGTAGGTTTTTCCAATTCTGTGAAGAAAGTCAGTGGCATCTTGATGGGGATAACACTGAATCTATAAATTACTTTGGGCAATATGGTCATTTTCACGATATTGATTCGTCCTATCCATGAGCATGGAATGATTTTTCCCTTTGTTTGTGTTCTGTCTTATTTCCTTGAGCAGTAGTTTGTAATTCTCCTTGAAGAGTTCCTTCACATCCCTTGTAAGTTGTATTCCTAGACATTTTATTCTCTGTGTAGCACTTGTGAATGGAAGTTTACTCATGATTTGGCTCTCTGTTTGTTATTAGTATATAGGAATGCTTGTGATTTTTGCACACTAATTTTATATCCTGACTTTAAATTTCATATGGAATGAAAAAAGAGCCCACACAGTCAAGACAATTTTAAGTAAAAAGAACAAAGCTGGAGGCATCATGCTACCTGGCTTCAAACTATACTACAAGGCTATAGCAATCAAAACAGCATGGTACTGCTGTGAAAACAGATATGTAGATCAGCAGAACAGAACAGAGGCCTCGGTAATAACACCACACATCTACAACCATCTGATCATTGACAAACCCAACAAAAACACCTAATCTTTGACAAACCCAACAAAAACGAGCAATGGGGAAAGGAGTCCCTGTTTAATAAATGGTGTTGGGGAAACTGGGTAGCCACATGCAGAAAGCTGAAACTGGATCCCTTCCTTACACCTTATACAAAAATTACTAATGAATTAAAGACTTAAACATAAAATCTAACACCATAAAACCTAGAAGAAAACCTAGGCAATACCATTCAGGACATAGGCATAGGCAAAGACTTCATGACTAAAACACCAAAAGCAATGGCAACAAAAGCCAAAATTGACAAATGGGATCTAATTAAACTTAAGAGCTTCTGCATAGCAAAAGAAACTATCATCAGAGTGAGCAGACAACCTACAGAATGGGAGAACATTTTATAAAAAATGCAATCTATCCATCTGACAAAGGGCTAATATCAAGAATCTACAAAGAACTTAAACAAATTTACAAAAACAACAACAACAACAACAACCCCATCAAAAAGATGGCAAAGGATATGAACAGACACTTCCCAAAAGAAGATATATATGCAGCCAACAAATACATGAAAAGAAAGCTTTTCATCACTGGTCATTAGAGAGAAATGCAAATCAAAACCACAATGAGATACCATCTCATGCAAGTTAGAATGGCAATCATTAAAAATTCAGGAAATAACTGATGCTGGAAAGGATGTGGAGAAATAGGAATGCTTTGACACTGTTGATGAGAGTGTAAATTAGTTCAACCATTGTGGAAGACAATGTGGTGATTCCTCAAGGATCTAGAACTAGAAATACCATTTGACCCAGCAATCCCATTACTGGGTATATACTCAAAGGATTATAAATCATTCTACTATAAAGACATATGCACACATATGTTTATTACGGCACTGTTCACAATAGCAAAGACTTGGAACCAACTGAAATGCCCATGAATTGTAGTCTGGATAAAGAAAATGTGGCAAATATACATTATAGAATACTATGCAGCCATAAAAAAGAATGAATTCATATGTTTTGAAGGCACATGGATGAAGCTGGAAACCATCATTCTCAGCAAACTAACACAAGAACAGAAAACGAAACACCACATGTTCTCATTCATAAGTGGGAGTTGAACAATGAGAACACATGGACACAGGGAGGAGAGCATCACACACCAGGGCCTGTTAGGGTATGGGAGTTAGGGGACAGGCAGCCTTAGGAGAAATACCTAATGTAGATAATGGGTTGAAGGGGTGCAGAAAATCACCGTGGCACCTGTATGCTTATGCAACAAGCTTGCATGTTCTGCACATGTACCCCAGAATTTAAACTTTAATAAGAAAATATTTTTTAAATACAACAAATATTCAAATAAAAATAAAGCATAACTTTTAAAAAATGGAAATAACATTACAGTAATAATAGCCATTAAAGTGTATTGAGAATTTAGTGTGTCCTATACAGTCTTAAAGGACTATATACATATGTCATATCATTTAATTTCTGCACCACAACCCCATGAGGTAGAGATTACATTTAGCTCTACTTTACTAATATGTAAACTGAAGTGCAGAGTGGTACAGTAGCTTGTTAAAGACAATGCGGTTAGGAAATGACAGGCCTGATATCCTCCCTTGAACAACTTGACACCAGGGGCTGCCTTCCTGGTCACCATTCTGTAGTGCCTCCCACAGCAACAAGAGGTATGACACAGAGAATGTGGAGGTGTCTTCAAAGGCACAAGAACACCACCTACATCAGACTGGCAATGGCATACGTGGAAGGCAGACAGTCAGGGAAACATTCAGATGCTCCCCTACTATTCCTTTACAAATTAAAGGCCACGCATGATTTCTTGTAACACTAAAAATTTCCCTATATTGAAGAACGTGGCTTGGTTGATTTTTCTCATTTAAAAGACAGGTCAAAACCTTCCCATTCTAGCTAATGGCTGCAGATTCATCCAACCCAAGGATTTCTGGGAGGATAATGATGAGGTGCTGGACTTAGTCTGCCTGAGGCACTGCCTGGAGGTTTTAACTGCCAGCCCATAGTTTAATAACTGGGACAGCAGGGGCATTTCAGTTATTTTTAGCCTTCCATCTTGACTCATTTTTAAACCTTTTAATCAGGAGAGGCTTCCCTAAGTGTTATGGCATTCTAAAAATGCAAGCAGAAAGGCAGGAGTGGGGGTGTCTGGGATCAGTGGACAGGCTGTTCCCGGCAGAGAGGCGAACTCTGACCCACATGTGGGCAACAAATAATTAGAACTTGCAGATTTAAAAGAGGAAAAAGTTAAGTGCCTGGCAAGTGCTGTTTAACTTCCCCATCATTTTTTCAGGTTTTAATGAGAAGCTGAAAAGAGGACAATTACAAATGTTTGCAGGTGAATGTCAGGATTGTCAGGGTACGCTTACATTTCTGAGTTCTTCTTGATCAATGCTTTTATATCTTCCACTTCTCTTAGTGAAAAAAGGTGGAGTTCAGTATTACTGGACTGCTAGACCTTTTGTCTCCAATCAGTCCGGAATAACAGGTGAACCACTGTTTTATACACAGAATACAAAAATCATGTAAAACAGTCTCTACCACCTACAAGGATAAACTCTAGAAAGAGGTATATATGAAACAATAATAGAAAAATTCCTCCTTCAGTTATTTATTCATTTTTTCACTCACTAACTACTTCAAATATTTATTTAGTGTATGTCTACATTGTATAGGGCATTGCAGCACAGGAATCAATAAACCATCAACCCTGCTTTCAGGAAGCTCATAGTCAAATGGGAAGAATAATGTGTAAATAGATCATTACAAGACAGTGTGGAAAGTAGAAAGCACAGAGGACATGAGAACAGAAAAGAAATAATTAACCCAGCCTTGGAGCATTTGGGTTGCTTCCCAGAGGAAAGGGGAAAATGAATAATCTCTCTGAAGAAAGAGAGAAAACTATCCCAGAAAGAGAAAGCAGTACTTTCAGTGAACTTCCAGATAGTTTGGTAAAATTCAGGGGTGAAAGATGAAAGACGGATTTTCTCCTATAAAGACTTACAGCAATGAGGAATTAATGTAAGTGAATTAACTCATTATCATTCAGTTCACCTTTGGTGGCTTTCATGAACCTATTCTGCTATTGCTTGCCATGGAATTTATGCTTTACTTAGCTTGCCTAAAGTAAGCATTTCTCAAGGATATTTTTCTGGCTTTTCCACAACATTTAAAAAAATTACAACACTGACATTAAGAAAGGAGAAAAAAGGAGGACATAGGGAAACTAACCTTGGGCACTTACTATGGACTGTGATCATGATGGTTTACATAACTGATCTGATCAAATGCTCAGGACTTCATTCATTCATTCATTAATGTCCTAAACCTGAAACGTTTATGCTGCACTTCAGTAGATAAATAATAAACAATAAAGCCACTGGAAGAGTAAAGCAATAACTTGTAGAGTGACTCCATAGCCCTAGAGACAAGCATGTACAAAGGAATTCAATAGCTGGCTCAACAAGGTTAATTAAGTATTATAGAGAGAAATAAAGAAAAAAATTAGAGTTCTAGGCAACAGCCAGACTGTGGAAAAGGTCACATATCATGAAAAGCCATCTAGACTTTACTGTCACTTTTTTGGTTACAGTGGATGGCCAGGAATTGAGTAAGATATAAAACTGGAAAGAATATTATGTTGAATAAGTGAGAAATAAATTGGAAAAGGGTGTCAGACTAGAGGAAGAAAAACCAACTAGAAGATCATTTCAATAGTCCAAGTCAGACGTGGTGAAGTTCTGGTTTACAGAAAAATTAGCAGGTAACAATCTCAAAAGATATTTTGTAGACGGAGTTTGGAGAAGGCTTACTGGTCAATTCGACATGAAGGATGGAAAACAGGGTCAAATCCAAGATGACTTCTAAGTTTCTGACTTCAGAGATAATGTTAGACTTATCACCCTCTCCTCTCCTTTTTCAAGGGAACAACAAGCTGCAGATAAGTCAAGTATTTTGCCCAGTGTCATACAACTATTAAGAGGCCAATTTGGGATTCAATCTAGATCTTGCTTACTAAAAGCACCCTCTCCCCTAGGTATTTGGTGAGATTGCTGTTCTAAAGTTAAGGAATAGGAGAAACCTGAAGAAAAAGCCCTAAACGCTCAGCCTCATCATCTGAAAAATACAAGGTAAGATAAAAAAATTTTTTAAAGTGGAGTGGGAAGTAAAGAGACACCTGGAGCTGGCCCATTAGTTTTATTATTCATGTTTACTGTTTGGTTTCCTCTGAATTACCCACTGGTGGTCTAACAAATCTTTTCTGTTTTGATCCTCCTCATCCTTAGTTGCTCATCACAGCATAAATCAATGTTGCCTGGAAAATAAAATATAATTAGAAGTAACTCACACTAATTATGACTTCACTGAGTGCACTGAATAATGAGAGTGGTGTCATCTTTTTCCTGGCATAGGAAGCATCTGTCATCTCACATTCTCCCTCCCCCTCCCACGGCCAAGAATTTTTAACCCATGAAAGAAACCTTATTGCTCAGCTAAATGTCATTCGAGAGCTCTATCAAAATAATAAAATGAAATAAGGGGAAACTATAAGTTATAAAATGAATACCCTTTTAAGCTCACACATATTCCTAGGCAGCCAACCGAAATCATTAATCCATGAAGCCTTCATCTGTTTACCTCTCTCTTCTATGCTCATCTTATAAACACAAATTTTCTGCTATATTTCCAATACATTTGTTGGAAGAAGGGGATGAGAGATGAATTAAATGAACACCCACTCGATAATTCCTGACCTTTCCTTTAGCATGACAGTTTTATCAGTCAAGCAGAGAGATAATATGATGAGGATAAAAAGCTAATATTCTCTCCTGGTGAAAAAGAATCAATGACACTTTCACCCACAGCTTTATTGAAAAATGGATGATAATGGCTCAAGCACACCTACCAGAGTGAGCTGCTTGAAGCTACATTTAACAAACTACGAAGAAGATGAAATATAAGTGAAATTGTAGGAAGGTCCACAAAAGAGGCGAAGGAATATTTCTTAAAATGAATGCAGTAAACCCATTTCCCGCCAGCCTATTGAGGAGCAATGAAGTGCCATTTATGGAAAGAGAGAATGAAAGCCGTAAATTGTTTGAGCTCACTGCATTTCACATTGAACATTCTTGTTTGGTGATCCTAACAGTTTTAGCCCTTAGGGAAACTTGCTGCAACTTCTGAACTACAGCTACTAGACTACACAGAGAAGAGAAATGCAGTCACCTATAAAATTTTTATTGGTAACAACTGGAACTTTTAAAAATTATGCATATTTGAAAAGTATATTTCTGACCTCCAGGGGAAAGAACATTCTTTCTTCCCTCAAATTACCTAATTAATCCACCTTCAAGAAGGAGTGTTAATCTTATTGGTCAGAATATAAAACTCACATTCTTGAGTAAGTTATAAATAAAATTATATGATATCTTTTCGTTGATGCTGAGAAATGTAGAGATTTTTCAAAGTGGAGCACTTTGCTATTGAGTCTGAGTTTGGGGACAGCTTTCCAC